TTGGCATCCGGCTGGCTTTTAAAGAGACGAGACAAGAAACTTGTGCAAGTTGTTTGCTTTAGATGTTATATTTAATGCTTTTAAGCTGACAAATACAAAAATACTGATCTAAGAAAGACACAGCACCTCATTTTATAAGAAAAAAGAAGAAAAAAGAAAACCTAGAATAACAAAAGGAAGTGAATTGTTTCAAAATTACACAACTGTTGACTAGTGAGTGCCTAGACTAGCAGGACATCTCTAACTGTTAGATTTGAATTCTTATAAAGTCACTTCAGGGGACTCAAATCAGAAGTGGCCAATTCTGTAACATTTCTCCCATAAAAATATGAAATGAATCACATGCAAAAGGGTTAGCAAAGCAGGCCTGAGACAGCTCTCCTTAGCCTGTTTTTTACCAGCTTCCTCTTGGCCTCTGTCTGGAAACCTGGTGGTAAGTGTTCTATGCCTGACACTTTACCTAAGTGGCAGGAGTGGCTCACTATGCCTGCACTGCAGTGTGGTTCAAGCTAAACACCTTCTGAGTGTCTGGAATTGTGGTCTGTGCCTAATAAAAACTTTGAGCACTAAGTCTCTGATAAGTTTCCCTGGTAGATGGTACATGTCACAACTTGATGCTAGAGAAATTGTGTGCTCGTTCTATTGTATATCCTTTTGCTGTAATAAACCTGAGCCACGAGTACACCTATGTGTTGGTCCTTTGAGTCCTTCTTGAGGATCACTAAACATAGGGACAGTCTTAAGAATCCTCATAGATGAACCTATATAAAAAATATTTGATTTGTTAGAAAAAAAGTCTTAGAAAATCACACACCACACACACACACACACACACACACACACACACACACTATATGCTTTGTATAAAAACTAAACAGGTAGAAGATTTATTGTTCACCAAATATTGAGTGTTTGCCGTATTTCTAGCTTTCTGTCAGGGAAGTGCAACAGATACAAGGGCCCACAAGGGATTATCTTTACTTAATCAACATAGATCATAGAGGTATAACTGTTTGACAATAGGAAACAGTATGAATTACTGCCTAATCAGTGGGTCCGACAATGTGTGAGTGTTATTGAAACTCTAAAGGAAAAGAGTTTATTTACAGCCATAATGGTTACTGAAAAACATGTTAGCATTTCAGTTGAGAGTGCTGGGAAGATGCATTTGCATCGACAAGAAGACAGGAAAGCAAGGTGGGAGGACAGCTTGAGCAAGACATTAATAGAGTTGGTGCTAAATCAGCCTGATTGCAGAGTTCACTTTGAACAGAAGCAGAAGATAAGATTAGAAAAGAGCTTTGAATGCCTTTATAAAAGAGTTTTCTTTCCATTGCTAATCGCGTAAAATTCAACCTGGGATTTTTGAACTGAGTTGTAATGTAATTAAAATGATATTTAAGATGGCCTGCAGGTTGATACTATATGGATTCAAGTGGTAATAAATTAAAGATGAGACAAATTAGGAGGCTACTGAGACCCTTAACTCAGGTTTCTCACGTCAGTGGACTGATAAACAATAATGCTATCACCAGTGCTTTGATGATTACGAAGTCAAGAAAATTACTGGTTTTGTTTTGTGTGAGGGGAATTCTGCATATGGTGACAGAGGCTATGAAGAGTTTTAAGTTGAGTACTTAACATTCCACATTTAAGGTGACAGCCTGATGAGTGGTTGGAGACACATTTATGGTGGTGTGTGGATTTCTTAGATTCTGATCTGTTGTCTTAGATTCTGATCTGTTGAAACCATCCATCCTGCATCTTGTTTAGAATTTCCTCAGGCTGCTCTGCCCTTTTATAGATTCTTAGTTAAAATTAAGTTTAAAAGAATCTAGTTTCTCTTGAGCTTTGTCCAATGAAGATGTTAGAAAAATAATGAAAACTAAAAGATACTTATTGGTAATAAATTATTAAACTAGTCAGAATAAATGATTAGATCTCACATACATTCATTAAAACATTTGAGAAATGCACTGTACAATTAGTTGTATACAACTGAAGCAAGTTATTACCTAATAGATATTTTTGAGGACCTTCAGAAAGATAGAATTTTTTTTGTATTACTTAAATCTTTTTAGAACTCTTCCTTTGTAAAGCATTTAAATCACTTTTGACAATTATTGAGATTGTTAGGATGGGTTTAATTCTGGTCTGCTTAAATAAAGTAATAATAGGAATAAAATTTTCCCATATATTTTAGGATTTCCCAGTTTGCCATTTGTTCATCTATTTTTCCCCCCCTTGTGTTCATAGCGAAAGTAATTTTCTAAGTTTCACATGAACTTCTGGCAAAAACACATGTGAATTCAGGGAGTGTCCAGGAAAGTAATGAGCACATCTGTTTATTGGATTTTTTTACTTTGTAAACAAGCTAAGAGGACTTTTTTTTTTTGGTCCCTGCTGGCTGGAGAATATCTCTATGCTTTCAAGATTTTAATTCACTGCACATTGTCTCCTTTTTAGTAAATTTTTCCTTATTGCAAAAGTGATATAGATTCCTATGGAAAAAACAAATAGAAAAAGAAGAAAAACTGACCGTACATGATCCATCCTTAGATTATCATTGTTGCTGATATTTCAGCGTATAACCTAGTAGCTTCTATTGACCCCCGCATATACATACATATAGATACCCTCACCATCATCACCTTTTTAAAACCAAAATGATATCACACTTTACTTAACACATTTTTTCATTTAATTAATTTTTCCATATCATTAAATAAAATATTCAGCTACAAAATGTTTTAAATAGATGCATATCATTCTGTTCCATTAATTTATACGATTTATTACAACAAGCCCCTTTTAAAGCAATCTTTCTTCTTTACTTATAAACGATAATAAGCATACTCATTGCCAAATTTGGTGCACATCCATTATTATTTAGAATTAACGCTTAGAAATATAATTATTGAATTATGCATGCACATTTTAATGTCTTACTCTATTAAATTGATATTTAAGATGAAAAATCACTAATAAGTAGAAAATACTAAAACTAACCAATGTTAGAAAGTGTTATTTGACCAGAGGACACAGAATTCTTTATACCTTAGATATACCTTTGGGTATTTATCCAACAGAAATAAAATCAGTATCTGGAAAAGACATCTGCACTCCCATGTTTCTTGCAGCACATTATTCACAATAGCCAAGATACTGAAACAAACCTAAGTGTCCATAAGCTGTTGAGTGGATTTTTAGAGTATGGTATATCCAAGAGAATACTATTTAGCCTTTTAAAAAAAAAAAAGAAGAGGGAAATTCTGTCCTTTGTAACAAAGTGCATGAACCTGAGAACGGTATAGTACGTCAAATAGGGCCTGGGATTTAGTTCAGTGGTGCTGCACCTACCTCAAAAAGCACAAGGTCCTGAGTTCGATCCCTGGTACGGCGGGGGTCAGAGGTGGGAAGGTGGCGGTATAGTACATGAGATAAGTCAGGCACAGAAAGACAAATACTGTACAAACTCACCTATATGTGCAATGTAGAAAAGCAAACTCACTGAAACAGAATAGAATGGTGAATGCCATGGGCCAAGGATGAGAGGTGTAGGGAGCTGTTTGGTCAAAGGAAACAAAGTTGCTATTAGGATAAGTCCCAGAGATCCATTGTGCATCATAATGATTATAGTTAATATATTGTTCGTTTGTTAATTGCTAGTAGAGTAGATCATAAATATTCTAACAGCAAAAAATAAGTGAGTAGATGAATATATTAATTAGCTTGATTTGACCATTTCACAATGTATGCATACATCAAAACACCATGTTGTACACCAATGTATTAGCTTGTCATCACTGTGGTTGAATACCTCAGGAAAACAACTTTAAGATTTGAAGCCCTGTATGCACCTGTAATCCCAGCCCTGGGAAGCTGAGGCAGAAGGATTACAAGTTTGTGGCCAGCCTAGGTAACTTAGTGGAACCCTGTCTCAAAATTTAAAACATAAAAATAAAAAGGGGTGGGGTGTGGCTCAGTGGTCATGTACTTGCCTAGCATGTGCAAAGCCCTGGATTTGAACTCAGCACTGCAAAAAAAAAAAAAAAAAAAAAAAAAAAGAAGTACAGATTTATTTGGGCTCATTGTTTCAGAGATTCCGGTCTGTGGTTGGCTGGCTCCACTGTTCCTGGCCCTGACGTGAGGCAGAGAGGTCCATGGTTGAAGGGAATGGCATAGGAAAGCCCTTCATCCACAGAAGCCAGGAAGCAGAAAAAGAACCTAACGAAAAGGGGCTAGATATGGTTTCCAACATCTTTCCCCATGTGATCCACTCTTCAACTAGGTTTCATCTCCTGTTTCTACCACTTCCCTTAATTAATAATTGATCTGTTGGTGAAGTTAGAGCCTTGTGGTCCAATTACTTCCCAAAATGCTGTCAGCAACCAAGCCTTTAGCACAGTGAACCTTTTGAGGGATATTTTGGATCCCAACCTTCACAATATAAATGTTTATTTACAATGCATTTATATAAATATCATTTTTAAATAGTCCTTTAAAGCCAGGTATGGTAGCACATGCGTGTGTCCCAGCTACTTGGGAAGCCAAAGGTGGAAGGATCCATTTGAGTTCATGAATTTGAGACCAGTCTGAGCAACACAGCAAGACCGTATCCCAAAACAAAGCAAATTCTTCATACCCTGGCCAGAAATGAGGACATCAATTTATGTTACTACACCAGCTATAATACTAGTAGGTAATATTTATTTAGGTACTTTCCTACCATTTACATTAATCCTTAAGATAATCCCATGAGGAAGTGCTATTATTACCTCATTAATTTGTTATCGTTGCCATTATTACTGCTATTATTACTCTTATTTTCTGCCTGAGGAAGTAGAAACAGAGATATTGAAAGTCAGCTAGTAAATGTGGAGTAAGGAGGCATGCTGCCTTCAGGGCCACTTTTAATACCAGACACCACTGCTTCTCAGATTTTATGTTGTCTGCTTTCTCGATTTTATGACTTAGAATAATAGATACATAGACGTAGTATGACTTTTATTAAAATGCTAGTTGTAGAGAAACTGGTTCCAGTATGTGTCACCACTAGTGAGGTTAACAGACCTGGCCCCCTTTATATTTGCCTGAAAATAATTGTACATGAAAGGTAAGTAACATAATGTTCATGTGTGTATTGGGGGGGGGTGAGACAGGGTCTCACTATGTAGTTGAGACTGACCTGGAACTCACTATGTAGCCCAGGCTGGTCTCGAACTCACAGAGATCCTCCTGCCTCAGCCTCCCGAGTGCTGGGATTACAGGCGTGCACCACCACGCCCAGCACGCATGTATTTTTTTAACAGCGTGTGCTTCTCCATTTTCACCCTCCTGCCAGCCTCCCGAGTGCTGGGATTACAGGCGTGCACCACCACGCCCAGCACGCATGTATTTTTTTAACAGCGTGTGCTTCTCCATTTTCTTTGCCTCTCTCTAAGTCCACAAAATTCAGCCTCATTGATAGATATTCATATCTTGAAAAACGTTGTTAATGCAATTTTATGCCAGTAAGTTAAGACTCACCATTGTAACAATAAGCCTTGCACAGCAGGCATTCTATAAATATTTATTGAAAAACTTGCACATATTTGGGGAGAGGATCTGTTGTTCATTTGCCAAGGATGACAGATGCACAGAAATTCCCAAATTAGATAGGTGTGGAAGTCAGATGGAGAAATACAGAGTTTGCCACAAAAGATGTATACACACTTCAGATAAAGAAAACAGCAGTCACACAACCAACAGTGATAGAATGGCAGGGTACAGTTATCGATTGAGGAACACAAGGTAACCTGTGTTATTAATCTTGTGATGTCTTAATACATTTAGTATTCAAATATTTTGCAACTTTTTCTTTTCCTGAATTATGTGTACATTTTTGGTGGACTCTACATATCTGTCCAGTGTGCATAGCTTGTACCTATTTGTTTCTCTCCAGTCCTTACTATGCATTCTATGCCCGCAGCATGTTAGTTATATGATAAGTAAATGAAAAATCTGCCTCACTGTCCCACTATGATTTCCTCACATTCAATTTTTTGTGATTTTTATTTCTACCAGTCATTTCACAGCAAATTTGTCCTTTTAATTATTGCCTTTATGGAAAAATTACCATATAGTATAAAAACTGCAGCAATACTGTAAGAAATAGAGGAAGTGTTTAAACTGTTGTTTTGTTTTTGTTTTTTTCATTGTGGAGGGGCAGCCAGGAAAAGTGTCACGGAAGAGAATTCCTTAGCAAAGTTTTTTTAAAGTAGCTGGAAGAGGAAACAGAATGACAGCATGATGCTTTGAGGGCACTGAGGGGATAGTGGTGTATTCCTGCCACTGTATAAAGAGAGGAAGAGGAAGTGGTCATTTCAAGGAGTCTAGACTTGTGTCCATTCTGTGCCTAGGGAGCCTGAAAGAGGAGTAACTTGTGAAAGGCAGTAAGGTGGCTTTAGGCTGCAAATGAAGAGTATTCTCATCTTACATACACCCTTAGCTTTCTCAGTACCAGTCAAGAAAGGTAAAGGGCATTACTAGAATGATTAAAAGTCAGAAAAGCTTCCATGAGGAATTCAATGAGGAATAGAGAGGAAGCTGAGCAAAGACACATCCAAGAGGCCAAATTAGGATTTTAAAATATGAATTTTAGTGTCAGCAATATGCATATCCATGCAGATCTCCCAGCAGTGTTCATAGGATTGATAAGGTTTAGACATTTATAGGTGGATAGAAAGGCTTAGTATATGTGCTGCAGAAGTGTGCACAAAAGAGAGCCTGTAGAAAGGCTTAGGAAGGAAAGGAACTAGGATTGTTTGTAAAACATTTAAGGGGGACTGCGGAGGTAACTAAATGATAGAGCACTTGCCTAGCATGCGTAAGGCTCTGCGTTTGATTTCCAGCACCAAAAAAAAGGAAAGAAAATAATTTAAGGAATCAGTAACAGAGTCCAAGTTTCATGAGGAAGGAAGCCAGGCCAGAAAGATAAATCTGGGAACTATAGAGTGATCCGAGCGTGAAGGCCTCAGTGATGTCACAGAAAGACATGTGGAAGAAATGATGCTGTGATGCCTCATTGAGCTGAGGCAGGGGGAAGGATTGTGCTCAGAGTATAGGATATTAAACCTTGAGATACTTCATGAGAGCAGCGTAGAGAGTTGGCTATGTCCAGGGTGTGAGTGTTACTGAAATGGGGTGAAGACTGAAGTAGGGCAAAGAACTCCGAGCCTAGTATGTTAGGTTATTTCTCTTGTGTTAAAGTGGCCGGTGTGATTACAGGTATTAGAGTGAAGAGACAGACTGTGAGACAGATGCTTTGCTGCAGGAGCTAGAATATGACATAAAAAGATACCCTGTTCCTCAAGCTTGTGTGCCTTAAGCTTATTGCCACTTAGCTTGCAGGTGGCAAGGAGGAGTTAGGAATGTGCCCATGTGATGTAAGATGGGGGTGGAGAATAAACATTGCCTACCTGCAGGGGCACAGTACCAGCTGTGTCCTCATGAGACAGCCAGGTTTCAGTTAGTCAATGAGCGGGGTGTTATGTGAAGAGGTTGCAAACGTGAGAGTTTGCTTAACCCTAGAACAAGAGTTTCAGGTAGTATGACAGAAAGAATTCCGAGAGAACGGCCACAGGAGATGACTCAGAGTGAGCAAGGACAAGGAAGACTGGAGGCTCAGGGAGAAGGGTGAGCAGGACTTTCATTCTTAGTCTTTCTCTGTGGATCGTAGGAATGAAAGGTATGGACAGAACTGATAGGCTGTCACATTTTCAATACGGATGTGAAATAGTTTAGTTTATATCTGAGGCCCGGGAGATGTCAGGTGGTTTCTATAGCTGTCCCTCCTACAAGTGCAAGAATGAGGTCATGTTGAGTCTTGTCATCCGCTTCCAGGGACCTCTTGCCTCTTCTTACTGTTTGTGTCTCCTTCTCCCTGTCTCATACCCCTCTGCCTGTACACTTAATCTTCATAATCACCACTCTCTCATTTTGGACATGAAATGGTGTTGCCCCTATTCCTTGCCATGTCCCTCTTTTTGATGCCATCCCCACCCAACTTCCTTCACCTGTTTCTGTACAGTTCAGATCCAAACTTTTAAGACAACGTAATTTACATTTCCTGTCTCTTAAGCATTCCTTTTCTTCCCTCAGCCCTGTAGTCTTGAGTTCTGTCCTATCACTTGCCCAAAACTGCTTCGCTGATATCATCTGTCATCTCTAATCAACATATTTAGTCCATTTTTCCTCATTTTTGCCTCCGTGCTCTGTTCACAATGCCATGGTAATCACTTATTTCTTGAAGCTTGACATTTGGTTTCCATGACCTCTGTGCTCTTCTTTCACCTCCTACTTCTCCACTTCCTTCCCTGTATTGGAGGGTATGACTTCTGCCCGTCGGTTTTGACAAATGTATAATAACATGTATCCCCATTACAAGATTATACAGTATAATTTCACTACCTTAAAAAAATCCTCTGTACTCTGCCTGTTCATCTCCATTCTATCCTAGCCTGTAAGCCTTTTTACTTTGTCTCCATAATTTTACTTTTTTCAGAATATTATATAGTTGCAATCATATAGATATACCCCTTTCAGATTGACTTCTTTTGCTTATTAATATGCATTTAAGAATCCTCCATGTCTTCTCATGGCCTCATAGTGCCTTTCTTTTAGTGCTAAGTAATATTCCATTATCTGCATAGTCTGCAATTTATTCATTCACTTACCATTCACCAGGACATCTGTTTGCTTCCAAGTGTTGTCAGTTATAAGCAAATCTGCTATAGTATCTGTGTGTGAGATTTTGTCTGGACATAAGTTCAGTTGATTAAATACCAAGGAGCATGATTGCTGGACCATATATATGATAAAAGTAGTGCTCACCTTTTTTCTCTTTTTTTGGTACATGTTAGCTATACACATAATGGGTTTATTTGGATGTATTTGTACATGCATATATAACATACTTTGATCATTTTCATCCCATATTACCCTCCTTGCCCTTGCCTCCCCTTATTTCCTTCTTTTCCCTAATATTCTCTCTTCTTTCATGAGATCTCTTTCTTGCCTTTGTTTTAGATTATACAGATTTAGGAAGACATGATATTTGTCTTTCTACATCTGGCTTATTTCACTTAACATGAGGATGTCCCGTTTCATGCATTTACCTGTAAATGATGTGATTTTTTTTCTCCTTTGTGAAAGGAGAATGGTAATCCATTGTGTATTTATAAACATATTCTTTACCCAATCATCAGTTGATGAGCACCTAGGCTGTTTCCATAGCTTGGCTATTATGAGTTGTAGTGTCTTTTTTGGGGGGGGTACTGGGAATCGAACTCAGGTCCTTCTGCTTGCAAGGCAGGTGACAGAACCATTGAGCTAAATCCCCGGCACGAATTGTACTGTCTAATCATGTTACCGACCTGTTTTTAAAGGCTGATATCACACAGGATTTGTGAGGGAAGGAAGGCAATTATTGGTATTCTACTTTGTAAATAAATAAAATAAGAAAAAAAAAGATTAATTCCCAAAGTCATACTAAAAGTGATAGAGATCTAAAATTCAAGATTTTTGCCAACTAGTTCAAGACTTTTTCACTATTTTATGCGGCCTCCTCGTTACATAACAGACAAATAATTTGAATTTCCCACCCAGGGTTCTAAGCCTAAAACTGTTAAACAACTTTTGAGAAAACTTCAGTAACTTTTGCCTACAAGTGGGTGGGGAAAGGTCATAGGCTAAAAAAGCTTCATATATGTTAGGAACTTAAGAGTTATGTAGATGCTAAAGTTGCTAATCTATCCAAGAATCTTGTTTATATTTAAATTGTATTAAACCAAGAATGAAAAGGCAACACTTGGGAGGGGTGAAAATATTTATAAATCATATATCTCACAAAGGAATAAAGAGCTCCTTCAACTCAACAATGAGACAAACAACCCTATGAAAAATGGACAAAGGCTTAAAAATAGATATTTCATTAAAGAAGTTATACAAATGGTCAATAAACACAAGAAAAAATGCACAGTATCAATTATCAGTAGGAAAATGCAAATCAAAACCACAACTAGGAGCTACCTCACACTAACTAGAATGGCTACTATCAAAAAAAGTTTGTTTTTT